TGTGAGATATAGGGAACATCATACAATGTGTTTTGAAACCTCTCAAGTGTCGAATAGAGTGAGATCTAAAAGATTTAAATTTTTCAAAAAATTGAAATGGCTTCCAAATGTAAAATCAAGTACTACATATGTATTGTGATAGATGGAGAACATCATACAATGTGTTTTGAAACCTCTCAGAGGTCAAATTGAGTGAGATTTAAACGATTGAAATTTTTTTAAAAATTTAAATGGCTTTCAAATGTAAAATCAAGTACTCTATATGTATTGTGACAGATAGAGAACATCATACAATGTGTTTAGAAACATCTCAGAGGTCACATAGAGTGAGATTTAAACGATTTAAATTTTTCAAAAAATTTAAATTGCTTCCAAATGTAAAATCAAGTACTATAATTATATTGTGATAGATGGAGAACATCATACAATGTGTTTTGAAACCTCTCAGATGTCAAATAGAGTGAGCTTTAAACGATTTAAATTTTTCAAAAAATTTAAATTGCTTTCAAATGTAAATTCAAGTACTACATATGTATTGTGACAGATAGAGAACATCATACAATGTGTTTTGAAACCTCTCAGACGTCAAATAGAGTGAGCTTTAAACGGTTTAAAATTTTCAAAAAAATTAAATTGCTTCGAAATGTAAAATCAAGTACTATGTATGTATTGTGACAGATAGAGAACATCATACAATGTGTTTAGAAATCTCTCAGAGGTCAAATAGAGTGAGATTTGAACGATTTAAATTTTTCAAAAAATTCAAATTGCTTTTGAATGTAAAATCAAGTACTCTGTATGTATTGTGACAGATAGAGAACATCATACAATATGTTTTGAAACCTGTCAGAGGTCAAATAGAGTGAGCTTTAAACGATTTAAATTTTTCAAAATATTTAAATTGCTTTCAAATGTAAAATCAAGTACCACATTTGTATTGTGACAGATAGTGAACATCATACAATATGTTTTGAAATCGCCCAAAGGTAAATTACAGTGAGATTTAAACGATTTAAATTTTTCAAAAAAACTTAAATTGCTTCCAAATGTAAAATCAAGCGCTATAACAGATTTCAAAACACATTGTCTAATGTTGTCTATCTGTCAAAATACACATGTAATGCATTTTGTTACATTTGGAAGGAATTTAAATTTTTTGAAAAATTTAAATCGTTTAAATCTCACTCAATTTGACCTTTGTGAGATTTCAAAACACATTTTATTGTGATCTCCATCTGTCAAAATACAGATTTCATATTCGAATTTTTATTTGAATGAAATTTAAATATTTTGAAAAATTTAAATCGTTTAAAACTTGCTTTATTCGACCTCTGAGATATTTCAAAACACATTGTATGGTGTTCCTCATCTGTCAAAATACAGATTTCATCTTCAATTTTTTATTTGGATGAAATTTAATTTTTTTGAAAATTTTAAATCGTTTAAATCTCGGTTTATTCGCCCTCTGAGATATTTCAAAACACTTTGTATAATGATCTTCATCTGTCAAAATACAAATATAACATTTGATGTTACATTTGGAAGCAATTTAAATTTTTTGAAAAATTTAAATCGTTTAAATTTCCCTCTATTTGACCTTTGAGATATTTTAAAACACACTGTATGATGTTCTCCATATAACAGAGTACAGATATGGTACTCGTTTTTACATTTGGAAGCAATTTAAATTTTTTGAAAAATTTAAATCGTTTAAATTTTCCTCTATTTGACCTTTGAATGATTTCAAAACACATTATATGATATTTTCCATCTGTCAAAATACAGATGTATCACTTGATTTTACATTTGGCAATAATTTAATTTTTTTGAAAAATTTAAAATGTTTAAATCACATTCTATTTGAGCTTTTAACGATTTCAAAACACATTGAATGATGTACTCCATATGTCAAAAAACAAATATAGTACTCATTTTTACATCTGGGAGCAATTTAAATTTTTTGAAAAATTTTAATCGTTTAAATCTCACTCTATTAGACCTTTGAGAGATTTCAAAACACTTTGTATGATGTTCCACATCTGTCAAAATACAAATGTAGTACTTTATTTTACATTTGGGATCAATATAAATTTTTTGAAAAATTTTAATCGTCTAATTCTCACTCTGTTTGACCTTTGAAAGATTTCAAAACACGTAGTATGATGTTCTCTATCTGTCAAAATACGATTATCGTTCTTGATTTGACATATGAAAACAATTTAAATTTTTTTGAAAATTTAAAATCGTTTAAATTTCACTTTATTTGAAGTTAGTGGGATTTTAAAAAAACTCTGATATGTTGTTCTCGATCTTATGAATACGGATGTAGTCCATGTTTAAACAATTAAGAGCCATTTAATTTTTATTTGAAAAATTTAAATCGATTTGATTTTACTCTATTTGACCTTTAAACGATCTCAAAACACATGGTCTTATGTTCTCCATCTTATAAAATACATAAAAGTCCTTTTTTTACATCTGGAAGCAATTTAAGTTTTTTTTTTTTTTAAAAATTGAATCGATAAAATCTCACGCTTTTGACCTTATTCGAGATTGTGTAATATTTCTTGAAATCGAAGTATGTAGGCCAAAGATTGAAAAGTTCATTCAGCCGCACTGACCGCAAGCGTCCTTGATAATGAGTTTCACATGTTCTGTCAAAACAATATGCTAACATACCTGATTTCACAGTTTCTTTACTATTGCATTTACAATCTAAAAAAATATACCGTTGGAAAGCTCTTAAAAAGATCTATTTAATGAATTAAAAATTTTTAAAATCGGTCAAGAAATGAAAGAGAAATGACTTTTTACAAAAATCAAACGATATCCACCAAAGATCAAAGAGCACCGAAGAGCGCGGCCATCTGCAAATGTCCTTGATAATGAATTTGAAATGTCCTGTCAAAATGAAAGTTTAACTTACCTGAGCTTACATTTTCTTTATTTGTGCACGTACAATACAAAGAAAGAAACCGTTGGAAAGGTCTTGAAAATGATGGTGCAAAAAAATTTGAAATCGGTCAATAAATAAAAGAGTTATGATTTTTTAAAAGAAAATTTCTAAGAGTACACTTGCACTCAAGTGTCCTAAACATACCTGAGCGTATATATCGTTTATTATTGTACTCAAACACAAAACAAATACATTTTTGGAAAGCTCTTGTCAAGATCTATCTGATGGTATAAGAAATTTTAAAATTGGAACAAAAAAAAATTTTGAAAAATTTAAATTTAAAATTGAAAAAAATTAAAACGTCTTCTTAAAATTTCAAAACTCAGGTGCACATGCCAGGATTACATTTAATCATTCCTGAAAATTTCAAATCTCTATTTTGAGTAGTTTTTTCAGAATAGGACATACCAGCATTGCAGCAAAACGTCAAAAATACGTCATATTTAACGAACGGAAGTGAATTGATAAAAAATATAAAAATATATTCAAGAGAACATCGTTCCCTATCATCTCTAAAAGTTTGACAAAAATCCACTGAACCGTCACTGAGATATCGGTGTAGGAAAAAATATTACTAGCCCCTTTTTTCCCCTAGTACGTAATATATGACGTCAACAGTATAATACATAGTTGAAGATTTTTAAGAGGAACATTTTTGTTTATGTCATTAATCACAAAATATCGATCGTTTAAGAGTTATATAACAAATTGTTTGGGGTCCTTTTTATCCCTAATTTGATGAGTCAGCACTTTTTCATTGACATCATTTGAAAGAACTTGACATTTTGCACAAATATTGTTCAGTATCTTATAACAAAATGACTATACTTTTAAAGATATGATACAAAATGTCTCGAAAATTCACTCTTGATTTGTTTCCTAACTTTCAACCCTTGGCCGTTTCCATACTACACATTTTCGGAAAATTTGGAAACCTTGTTGCATCATGGGAACATAACCTCTATTATCACAGAAAATTTCAGCGCTCTAGCTTTAACCGTTTTTGAGTTCTATCGCAGACAAAGAGGTCCTCAAAATTTTGATTTAAGGGCAATAACTGTCGACCGGAAGTGATTTTCAAAAAAATGAAAAAAACGTATAAGGTTTAGATAAAGATACACCTTCCCCGAAATTTTCAAGTAAATCGGTCGAGCCATATCCGAGAAATCTTCTGCACAAAAATTGTAAAGAAAAAAAAGAATAATAAAAGTGAAAAAGAAACAATAGAATAATAGTAGGGTCTTCCGTTGAGACGGAAGACCCTAATAATAATAATAAAAGTGAAAAAGAAACAATACAATAATAGAAGGGTCTTCCGTTGGAGACGGAAGACCCTAATAATAAGAAACAGTAGAATAACTATAAGGTCTTCCGTGAAGACGGAAGACCTTAATAAGAAACAGTAGAATCACTATAAGGTCTTCCGTGAAGACGGAAGACCTTAACTAGAAACGATCTCGTTGCGAGCAACGAGAGGTCTTCCGTCCGATTCAGGAGGAAAAAAACTAAAATCGAGCTGAAAAGTGATAAAAAAAATTTGTCAAAAAGAGGATTGAATCCAGGTCGCCATGAAAATTCACTTTTTTCTCTTTTATTCCCAACGCGCTTAAATTACGCTACTGGGTCAACTTCTCTAAATGTTTTTGCTTATACTTCTTCAACAATGCACCTGTCTAGGATCTATGAAAGGCGCGCCGCTATTCAACTATTGATAATTTGCTATTTTTAAATGCAACGTTAACACGCATTCTAATACTAATACGATACTAATCATTAAATCAATAAGTTTCATGACGAATGTCCAAGGGACCAGAGAAAACATTCTCGGACAAAATTCGTCTTTTTTTGCAGGTTTCCATGGCAACGGTAGCCATTCTGAAACTGAATGACCACACAACAAAACTACAACAGTGATCATCCTTTGAGGAAAGTTTCAGGAAGATTGTCCAAGCCATCTCCGAGAAACAGCCCGTAGAAGAAAAACATGCGTACAATTGCAATATGTCGCCCCCGACTTCGTTCGGGGCGACATAAAAATACAATATCAAGAAATTATTAGTCTGTGTTCAGAAACAAATACTTGTGTATCTTGACACACTTGGCGATTTGTGCATCCGTCCTCCGTTCTAACAAGATCGTCACAGACTAAGCATCCAGATTTTGATACACCCTCTGAAAAAAAAATCCATTTATATTTTGCTCCTGTATAGTCTCCCCCTTTCTCTCTCTCTCTCTCTCTTGAATTGTATGTGGTCAACGATTAAAAATTGCTCAAGATATTATTTTATTATCAAAAAGCATGAAGGCCTCCTGCTATATTTTAAGTGAAGTTTTTACTAGACCGGCGATATTCTGTCAAAAAAGGTTATTTGAAAGCGGTTAACGTTTAAAAATTCAGTGTTTAATTCTTGTCTGCCCCAAAACGTTATAAAGAAGATATGTTAGAATCCCTTGCTTGCAAAATTATCCGTAAATCTGCGTGTGTTTTGAATAATAGTGATTTTGACAGAAATGTATCCATCAAATCTGGGCTTAGCATGAGGGCAATGGAGTTTAAATATAACAATTAGGAATTTTTTGTGGATTTTTTGTTTCAATTGCAGAACATAAACGTATTACGCTAGTTCTAAGGCACCTGATCCTACCTCTGATGTTTTGGAGGTCCATGTTTGCTCTGCTCCTAGTTTGTATTGATTGATGGACTTTTAATCCTGAATACTGTTCGTTATCTCCTTATGTTTCATTCTAAGAGGTTCTATTGTCAAGTCTTTTGTCAAGACTTAATGCAGTTTGATTCATATTGGACAAAAGGCTGCTAAACGAATTTAATGAACTGTTTCTTATTCTTATGAGAATAGGATTCAGGGGACTAATTTATTTGGTGTTTGTGCACGATAGCTTGATTTTCCCAAATGTTCTTTTCATCAAATGAGCTTTTTGGTTGAATTATAATCCTCCTTCATATTGTAAAAATTTAAAGATATTGCAAAACAATAAGTAATATAGAATTGTCAACTCTTTCTGACCAACATATGAGATTTTTCTGATTTGGAAAATTATCAAATTAAGCAGTATTCGCGGAAATGAAAGATGCAATTATGAATTAGAAGAGCAAAAATGTCAATAATATTTGTATACTGATATAACTTCCATTTTGGTAAATATTTTAGAAAAATCTTAAGGATGGAATTTCATGTATTATTTTAAGTTTTCCAAAACGATTGTTATTAGATTCAATAAATGTTTGACGTACTTTCTCCGCATAGATTAGCGTTACAAGGTCCGTGTTCGGTGGTTGGGGCCGAGTTACAACACTCTACACAGTTGGTGTAGTCACTTCTCTTCCTCCCGCTCCCTAAACTTTGCATCAGTGCACACACCTGGAGTCAGGAGATAGGATCAATTATATATATTTTCAATGTATACATATCGCACCTATTTCAAAACCACAGTGAAAAAAATGGTTTAGAATTATTGTGTTATGGTGAAAAACTTAATTTTAGCAGAAAAGATGATATGTGTGAACGTAGGTATTATCACATTGCATATTATGAAAAAACAAATTGCAAAACGCCTTTGTCTAGAAATGATACGGAAATATAAGAATAAACAATGAATCAGCATGAGGAATGTAATATATACATTAATAGTATTTAAAAGGTATAATTTCAATTTCAGCAATAAACAGACCGATTGTGATCGACAACCAGCAACATATGCAATTTTAAGTTCCTGTGTAGTGATTTTCTCTAAATAGCATTCCTGAAAAAAAAAACATAAATGAAATCAGACTTTCCTTTACATGTCTAAAATTGATTCTTTAAGGATTTGTTAAAAGTGCTTATTTTCGTTAGGAGGAGATTAACTTAATTTTTTTTTAATAATAATTAACGCACGTAAATAAATTGAAGAATGAAAAAAGGTTAATTGATTTTAATCAACTCGAAAGTAGAGCAAATTCAATTTTGTTTTTCTTTTAATTCAGTCCTAAATACATTTTAATATTTTATAGATGTAATTTACCAGTATTATTATACATATATAGTCTTTTTATAGACCCTATATAATCTATGCTAGCGGAAACAGTTCATTATATATTAATCGGATTTGAGGCCGTATTCACCGGAGGGTCAGTGCGCTTGCAGCGTCATTGTGACGTCACAATCAATACCTCAATCAACGTTGTAAACAACGGTTGCAACGAGCGCAGTCAGCTATATATCTAAGCAGGAAAAATATTAGACAAACCTGTCGCAGAATTTTTTTTTTTCAACATTTGGAAGTCTTACACATAGCAAAACTCAAAGAGGAAAACACGGAGGCTACAAACTGTTATCTGGAATTTTTTTGAATTTTGATCGACAGGAGTTCGTAAATGAAAATGGTGTCGTCATGCAACCTTCAATGTCTTATTTATTCAAATCCGGACTATAAAACAATTACGGAACACCAAAAAGTCCATAATTGTATATTATATGTATTTGACAGGATTTAGAATTCTGCACAATAACACTGATAAGGAAATAGGAATCTTTTAAAGAAAATATTCTAATCAACTTAGTTTGAAACTATTAGTTTGTAACTTATAGCATTGAAATTAATGCTTATGTCTGAGTCGGTTTTAATAAGCAAGTTCTTTCTTTGGTCAAAATTTAGGGATCCCTGGTCTTTCAAATGTCATTTAAATGTAAAAAAAATTATGAGTTCTACCAAAGGCTATGGCTTTTAATAGACCACTTTATCATTCATAAGAATGAGTAAAAAAAGTATCAGACTGATGTTACCATCTCCCTTACAATGATCAAGTAGCGATAAGGAAATAATTTATCTGTCTTTAAATTCAGAATTTAGAAAAAAATAAATGTAGACTAATTGATTGATAAATATGTATTGTTCCAAGATGAAAAAGCGGCTAATATTTTTGTCATTGTAAGGTTATTCATTTTAATTGTATTTTGGAGGTATTGTTTTTTTTTTTTAAATCTGAAAGGGGAAATCAAGCTTATACCTGTATCTCCTTTTGTAAGGAGGACACCCCATTACAAAAAATTCTATAGTAAATATAGTTCACTATAGTTTACTATAGTTAACTATAGTAAATCAAAGTTCTAAAGTTTTCACCATAGTAAATCAAAGTTCCAAAGTTTTTTAACCATAGTTAACCAAAGTTCCAAAGTTTTAACTTTGGTACTATAGATAACTAAAGTAAACTATAGTAAACTATAGTTTTCTATAGTATTTTTTGTTAGGGACAAATGAATGTGACTTACCATATCGATATTGATTCCTAAAAAAAATCCTTACAAGATGCAAAGTGGGTTAAGGTGAATGTTATACATACATGTGGTCTCTTTTTATCCTCACTGAAATATTAACAGCAGGGAAAGAGAAATATCATTAGTACTGTACAACAATATTTGCAGTGTACATCAGATGTGAATGGGGCCTTATGTGCCAGCGAAATTTCGTTTTGAGAATCCAGATATTGGAAAACAGAATATGAGAAATTGCAATGTTCTTGTAATTTACAGAAAACATGCGTATTTGACTACCAGACCACCAGATCTCATAAGTTGATATTAAGTATAAAAGTACTATGCAATTTATTTTTAAGATGCTTAAGTTTGTGAGGTATTTGCAGACTGGGTCGACTAAAAATCTGCAGGGTATCCCCTGGGTACCAATTGCGCAGTAAGTCAATTAATTAGCTGAACACAGTAAATTAATACTTAATAAATAAATTGATTTATTGATTGTTTGTGTACTTTATTCCAATTTAGTTAATTAAATAGCAGGTAAATAGTGATGTCGTGATCATCGAAACGCTTGAATATTACGATGACGCTTTAAACATGCAACAGTTCATTCTGTGACCCGGTAAACAGTTCGACTGTTTCTAGATCACGCAAAAGCATTTTAAAAATGTGAAAAAGTTCAAAATGCCTAATTACAATTTATATAATAGGTTACATGTAGGTAAAAGCACAAATTATTTCCTCTTTATGTTTTAAGGATGAATTCTGCTGATCATTTTACCCACAATGGGTCTTCGTACTTAAGCATGTCGTAACATTCATACTGATAACAATTTACAATAAAGTTTTTATGATTTACATGTTTAACTATAGTTTAACCTAAACATTTTTTAATAAAAATTCTTTATCTGATGTATTAATGCCCAAGACGTGTGCAAAATTTCTATATTTACGACATGTGCCCAAGAAAGTCAACGGTAGGCTGTGTAAGTGAAAAAGAGAGAGGAAGAATATTACGACGGGATCGACCGTTTCAAAACGACAGGAATGCCGAATGGCACTCCGTTAAACGAACCAACCAACTGAAATTAAAAAAATTGCCGATATCACCCCTCGAAGGCGGTCCCCAACCTTGCCAGCTAAGATTGCAAGAGCGCCGAAGTGTTATGACGACGTTCCAGTACTAGTAGCAGTGGCAAAGCGAAAATGTATAGGTTTCCAATGCTTTTGAAAAACTTCTTGAAAATAGTTATTGTTATATTCCTGTTATTAGTTTGACCTTTTTACTGACTTTCGTTTATTAGTAAAACCAGTTGATGCTGTATCATTATAAGCCAATCAGATAATTTCTTTTGTTTTGTGTGCGAGTCTATAATTTAATTGAATAAACGTGTTCAACTCATGTGATGTGCATCTATCTGGGTCCATCGCTCACCAAAGATTCCTTAATCTAACATGGTAGCAGCGGTAAACTTATGAATGACGGACTTAACGGTGTTTCAACCGTAAGTTGTGACTATTTTGTGCATTTTTCCTCATTATTTCGGGAACCAGAACACTGTCAACTCGATCGACACACAAGGCCACTGAGTGCGTCAGTTCATTTTTGAATGACATTTGAGAACTCCAAAGTATTACCTTTCCTCAGATATCTATTCAATATGGGTGATCCGCCAACTATATATCAAAGTGTTCCGGGCCCAGGAAAACTTTCTCTAGAAGGAGATGCAGCTCTAAACTTCCGCCGTTTGAACGTGGATGGAAGGTCTACCAAGTCGGTGCTCGTGTCAAAGAACAGGATGCGACAATCCGAGCTTCCATTCTCCAATCATATTTGACCGCAGAAGTCCTAGAACTTCTGGAAACGCTTCCATTTGAGGACCCAGCTCACCGCAAATATGCTGACCGTAATCTCAAAGTGCTTGAAACTCACTTCATTGGTACTACTAATGAAACTTATGAAAGATACAAGTTTAACATTTGCTCTCAGAAATAAGGGGAAACCTTTGATACATTTCTCGGAGCAATCCGTGTACTCTCTAAGTCCTGTAATTTTGGTGCACTCGAGGACTCTTTACTCCGTGACAAAATAGTGTGTGGTGTTAACAAAGAACACACAAGACGCAAACTCCTTGCGGAATCACAACTCAACCTGGGCTAAGCCATAAACATTTGCAAGGCTGATGAGTCAGCTACACAGCAAGCATCCAAAATAGGCAAATCAACTGACACAAAGGAGGATTCTGTTCAAAGTGTAAAAACTCTACGTGATTCTAAACATTCTCAACGGCCCCAGAGAGGACCCCTCCCACAACAGAAACCACACAAAAGACAGACTCAGAGAAAATAAATCAATGCAAATATTGTGGTGGCGCACGTGCGTGAAAAAGGTGCATGTCCGGCATATGGAAATACTTGTAAGAAGTGCAAAGGAAAAAACCATTTTGCTAAGTACTGTAAGCAAGGTGTTAATACTCGTGTTCACAGTGTAGAAGAGGGTAATGACTATTATGCGGAGCCTAAGTACTTGATTAGACAGGTCAGTACTAAAATTGCAGGTGGATCTGGACGTCTCTGTGTGGAACGTGGTTAACGATCAACCAAAAGCATTTCAGATAGACACAGGTGCTTCTTACAATCTTATTGGAAAGAAATTGATTGGTGACACTACTATTACTCCATCGATCAGTACTCCAGTGATGTGGAATAGCTCGCGTATGGAACCTCGTGAGGAGTGTACTCTGAAATTATTCAATCACAAGAACAGGACCAAGTACAAAGTCAAGTTCGTAGTTGTCAATGAGGACTTAACTCCACTCCTCGGACTCCTCGGACTCAATGCATGTACTCAAATGGGACTCATTACCATAAATCAGGACAAGTTCAAGTGAGTGAACTCTGTGCACTCCGTCTGTCCGACTGTTGCGTACAAGGATGTATTTGAGGACAAAATAGGACAACTACATGGAGTAGCACATTTTGAGGTTGACTTCTCAGTCACATCAGTTATATCACCAGTGCGGAAAGTTGCAGTCCATATGAAACCAAAACTAAAGTAAGCATTAGATGATTTGACAAAGAAGGCCATCATAGCTCCTGTTAACAAGCCCACTGATTGGCTTAGTCACCTCGTATGTACCACTAAGAGAAACGGTTAACTCCGATTATGTTTATACCCTGGCACGTAAAGCTGGATGATGAAAGTAATCACGTGACTACATTTGACACACCATTCGGAAGGTACCGTTGGCTACGGCTCCCATTCGCTACCAGTGTTTCCTCAGAGATGTTCCAGCGACGTCTATATCAGGCTATAGGTGACTTGAGAGGGATTCTGAACATCGCAGATGATGTATTACTCTATGGTGTTGGTGAGACCAAGGATGAAGCCATTAGAGACCATGATGAAAAGTTAGTAGCATTTCTCCAGCGATGCCAAGCAGTTGGTATCCGACTTAATCCGAAGAAGATGCGGTTGAGACTCTCCCAGGTTGGATTCATGGGTCATCTCGTAACTGACAAGGGAGTGCTACCAGACCCAGATAAAGTGGCTGCTATTCGCAACATGCCATCACCAACAGACTTACATGGTGTACACAGACTATGTGGAACAGTGAACTTCCTATCAGACTTCATACCATCATTAGCTACAATAATGGAACCGATAAATATGCTCAAACGGAAACACATTGAGTTCAGATGGGATGAACCGCAACGTAAGGTTTTCAACAAAGTCAAAGAAATACTAATCTCTGAAAACCATCTCCAATACTACGATGATAAGAAACCACTTACCATACAATGTGATGCGTCCCAAAGAGGCTTAGGAGCAGCCCTTCTACAGGAAGGAAAGCCAATAGCATATGCTAGCCGAGCACTCACTGAAACTGTGGCGAACTATGCTCATATCGAGAAAGAACTTCTGGCCATAGTTTTCGCATTGGAGAAGTTTCATCACTACACATTTGCTCGACATGTTATGGTACAGTCTGACCACAAACGGCTAGAGACTATCATCCCAGGCTCTCAGGCTCTCTATGGAAAGCTCCAAAACGCTAACAAGCAATGAAACTCCGACTCCAGAAGTTTGACATAACTGTTAAGTACCACAGAGGCAAGGAAATGCACATAGCAGACACACTGACACGTGCGTTCCCGTCTGACACAGGAATAAGCAAACAGGATGACATCAATGTTATTCAACATACCTCCATTTCCCCTGAACGTATCAAAGAGATACAACGCCACACTGCTAAGGATGAGACCCTACAGGCTCTTCAAAAGACTATTGTAGGAGGTTGGCATGACCTCTTAAGTGAACTATCTCCAGTGGTAGGACGTTATGTATCCTTCAGAAGTCAACTTTCTTTTACTGATGGTATCATTCTTCATGGAGACAGGATCGTAGTTCCTCAGACTCTCCGTAAAAGTATGCTATAAAGACTCCATACACTCACCTAAGTATTACTGGTACCCGTCGACGAGCAGCTGAATGTCTCTACTGGCCGAATTTGAACAACGACATAAAGGAATTCAATTCACAGTGTGAGACATGCTGTAGCATGGAAGTTGCGAATACCAAGATGCCACTCTCGCCCCATGATGTCCGAGACCGACCATGGTCTAAGGTTGGTGTTGACCTTTTCACGCTCAACAACATCAACTATCTCATTCTTGTTCTCTGGATACTTTGAGGTTGATGAACTGTGCAAAACACTTGCAACCAATGTCATCCAGAGAATGAAGTATCACTTTGCTCGATACGGACTACCTGAGATTGTCGTCTCGGACAACGGTCCCCAATTCTCATGTCTCGAGTTTCTGAACTTTGCAGAAAAATATGACTTCAGACATCAGCCCAGTAGTCCTGGAAACTCTCAAGCCAATGGAAAAGCTGAGGCTGCAGTAAAACAGCAAAGACTATCATCAAAAAAGCTCTGGCGTCAGGAAGGGTTGTGTATCTGGCACTGCTTGATCTCAGGAACACACCGATGCAAGGATAGAGCACAAGCCCTGTACAGCGCTCTCTTTGCCGTACACGTACGCTCTTACCAATGACAACCACCCTACTCCTACCAAAAGACATACAGACTGACGATATTCACCGTAAGATCCTGCAGCGACAGGAGACACAGAAAAGCTTTTTCGATAGAAAATCGAAGGCCCTCAAGCCTCTTTAGGAAGGTGATGTGGTTCGTCTTCAACCATTCGTCAACCGTAAAGCCCCTTGGGCTAAAGGTGACTGCATCTCTCTGGGTCCATCGCTCACCAAAGACTCCTAATCTAACAGTATTGTCTATGCATGATAAATACAAAAGTTTCAAAAAACACAGTATGCTGTCAACTCGAACATAGCATAAATATGTAATTAACCTTATGTAAGGCCTAAGGGGTCTTCAGAAGCATGCAGACGACAGCAATCGTTTTATCTTTTTTATTGCAACTTTAGCTCGTAGTATATGATAAATTTCCTTTAATATTGTAAATGCAGAATATCTATCCCAAATTTATAGACATATCATACGAAAATAATAATCTAGCATCTATAATTTTTAGCTGTTTACATTCGATAAGAAACTAGGTCGCTCCATTCTATGGCGGCCTATACGGGATAAAAAATGGAATATTTCTGAAATATTTTAGAACATGAAGAAATCATTTAAGGAATGAATCTAATAGCTACCCATTTTATACGGTATAAACTGGGTTGGGGCAGTTTACGCTTTATAAACCGCGAAGCGGCTTATAAAAAGGGGTAAACTGTAAAGCGTTACGACCAGAATTAAATAAAAACTACAGGCTTAGGTTCATAAAAACAAAGTCAGATAGGAAAAATAATGATTTACATTTTTGAACAATGATATGACCAGTAATTATAATCTATTTTTTTTTAAATATTCATTTTTTTTCAGGTAAGTCATGTTTTCACAAGAATCACAAATGAAGAACTTTAGAAGAGAGCAGGGTTTTATAACCACTAAAATCAGATGGAAAATACCATGCAAATCTGATTGAGAAAGTGGGACTGGATTTGACTAATCCCAGGAAATCCATCATCCAAAACCACACACCAGTACCCAATCCGTGACGCGCAGGGCAAGAGAAGGAGAGAACATCCAACACTATTATGAAGTTTTATGTGTTGATTGATTACGTTTTGTTCATAGAAAGCTTTTCTTAACAAAATTGCAATAATTACCTGAAATTATCACACTTATTTTAAATATTTGATGAATAAAAACACATACTTTGAAGCCTAATTGTCTTGATTTGTTTTCATTAAATGCTGAAAACGAAATAGAGGGTGGGGATATAAAAAAATTCTTATACGTACACTAACCCCTACTTTTCATTCTATGAAAAGGAGCCATAATACCTGAAGAAACTGTACAACAATTTTCTTAAAAAGTTTTATTCTGAAAATATGTTTTTCTTTGGTATTCCTTGGATATTGCACTTTCAGAAAAATATAAGCATGTGGAAAGTTAAACGTTTTTTTTCCGGGGTATCAGCAGAATACATAATTAGATCCTGATTTATTTGAACTATTCACAATATAACGATTGTTCATAAAAATGAAATTAGTTTTAGTGACGCATGCATGCCTACAACGTTTTCAATCTAAAAACGAAAGTAAATCTTTTACTCAATTTTACGATAAAAAAATCTAGTTATCTTTAAAGAACATCAAGTTATATACAACAATGAATGATTCTTGGATGCCAAACATTTTTGCCTCATTCTGTAAGACAAATCTTTGGTGAGTTTTTTACAATAATAATCATACAACATAAGAAAGATAACTCTCTTGATAACAGCTATACTGGAAGATTGCTTTGTGATACGAAGGGGGCGTTCATTGATGGACGGATATAATTTACTCTATAGGAAGGTATTGCTTTACACGCATATTTTCTTAACTAGATGTTTATAATCTACATAGCTTATATTACCATATATATATATATATATATATGGATATTTTTGATTTTTAAAAAGTTTATAGCAGAAAAAAGGGGATTCACATTAACATTACAATGAAATAAAAGCTTTTGACGACAGTCTGTATATCTCCAATAAAATTTTTCTACAATTTTGTGTTTATGCTTTAATGAATCAGTATAAAGGAATTATGAGGTAAATAAATATATGAAGGAATTTTTAATAATTTTTACTTTTCGTTTTAATCATTAAGATAAACAAAGTATTAAGCACATATGTACTTCTAACTTTTTAGATTTAATATGGATCCCATCAGGAGTGCGCAAGATGTCATCCGATGTGACGTTTGTGAGACAGCTATAGTACAGAAGTACTGTGATTTCTGTCATGTCAATCTGTGCATTCCTTGCATAGGAAAACATATTTCTGATGACTATGACAAACATAAAGTAGTCCCATACCGAGAAAAAAAGTCAACTTTAATCTATCCTAAGTGCTCGGTACATCAAACAAGAAACAGCGAGTTTCACTGTGAAACGTGCACAACCTCAGTGTGTTCTTTGTGTGCTATATCTGATACACATAGGGGACATATAGTTTCATCTCTTTCTGATCTCTTTTATTCCAAGAGGAAAGTTATTGGAAAAGATGCTTTAGAATTAGAAAACTCAATTTCTCCAACGTATGCAGAAATTGCAAATGAAATAGAAACCCAGATAGCTAACTTAGATGGGAAATATGGAAATCTTACAACAACGTTGATTAAATGTGGAGAAGAATGGCACAGAGAAGTCGATGTAATTGTCGAGAAATTAAGAATTGAAATAGAAAATGGAAAAACAAAACATGAGAGTATTTTAAAGGAGCATTTGAATAAAATCAAACAGATACAAAGTCTTATTGAACAAACACTTCTAAATCTTCGACAAATTGAAGATTCCAATGATGTATCTTTGACCATGGAATACATCTCACGAACCAAAAAGTTAAGCAAGTTACCTGCAAAGATTCAAATATCGCTACCAACTTTCAGTTTAAAGACAATAGACAAAGAACAGTTTTACAAGCTATTCGGATATTTAACCCCAGTATCCGTCACAACGGCGGAAAATGGCTACGAAGTGAAGAAACCAAAGATATCAACAAAAGGGATGCTGGAGTCACCAGTAAGTGATATTATTTTAACACAAAGATCAAATTATTTGTACCCACACTCATAAATAATTAGTTAGATTGGGGCATCTTTCTTCTCTTTATTCTTATTTACTGTATTCTCTGGACATACTAGTATATGTGCTTGCATGGTTAAAAAATACACATCAATAGATATATTTTATGCTTTCAGACTTGGGACACAGAGAACATGCCCTCTACCGATAAACTGGTGGTGGCAGCCATTGACGTAGGTTCCATCTACAGCGGCATTGCATTTTCCTATAAACATGACTACGAGAACGACCCTTTGAAGATAAGGTCCAACAACTGGGCATCGGATTTCGGGGGTCTAGTCACCCTAAAGACCCCCACCTGTGTTCTGTTTAACAAAGACAAAGGGTTCCACTCGTTCGGTTACGAAGCGGAGGATAAATATTCAGAACTCAGAGTGGATGGGGAACAATATGAGTGGTATTACTTCAGGAGGTTCTCTGTGCCACTCATTAACAGATGGGCAAGTTCATTTTTTAACCCGTAAAAAAGAAAAATTATTTAAAGTCAGAATGGATCTGAAGGGACCGGAAATTACTCAGTTTCTAATGAATAAATCGCCCGGGGATTGTTTTCTTTTCTATCAACACTCTGTTAGGGGAGGAACCCTTAAATCACTTTTACTTGATAATGTCCCCTATTATTTCAATTCTGAGGTACAATCCTGTTTTAAGTAGAGGCAGAAAGTTAATTAAGGTCAAGATCTAGTAAATAACTTGAGACTACATTTTTGGTGGTAGATCCATTATGACGTCATAATCAATTTCAACTTTCTTTTTCCCGTACTTTACGGCTTGAGTAGAATTATGTAGAAAATAGGGTAATTTCACGACATTCAATTTGAAATCATATGAAAAGTAAACCGGATACCTATATTAAATTTGATATTGATTTAAAGAAGAGGCCATGAACATACTAATTACCGTTTTCTGAGAGACTGTAGGCAATCTTGATACATTTCCTTTGTCGAATATGAGAAAAACTCCCATATTCATGACTGGTTTTCTTAATTTTCATTGAAAATGAAAGTTTAAAAAACAGTTTTTCATCTTGTTTACCTACAAATTATGCCCCGAAACACCTTATTTGACCAAGCTAAAGTTGTAAAGCATCAATAAAGGAATTTATTTCTCAAGTTTGATAAATCTGTAGGCACCTTTCATTTACTAGATCTTGACCTTAAAATAAATATATTTGAGGAAAAATTGTATAATTTTATTGGTTGAAAATTAAAAGGTAGAATTGATAAAAATATTTATCAACTCTTTTGTGTATAGAAGCTCCAATTCAGTATTGAAGCTTTTTTAATTAGCAGACTTTATATATTTAAAATGCATAAGATGTTGTACAATTTTTCTCACAGGCACCATTTTTAAACACCTTGATAATGAAATCTATGGACGGGAAGGAGATGATGGCTTTGGATGTGTTTTCAGCGGTCATTAAATTCTTCAGGGGTCACCTACTACATTCTCTGGAACAAGAAGGCACAAGGATCCATGAAACTGACATAGGCTGGGTCTTAACAGTATCTGCTATCTGTGATAATTCTGCCAGACAGTTTATGAGAGAGGCGGCAGTTAGGGTACAAGCTTTTAATTAGGCTAGAGAAATGTCATCAACCTCAGTTAGAGTTAAGAGTTTTTATGTACGTAAGCCCATTTAGGACCTATCAAAAATTTGTCCTAATGAATGAAATGATTATAAATTTCTTTGAATTTGTAATGACACATTAAAGCTGTTTAAATGAATTTGAAGAATTCGTTACATGTATAACAATTTCGAAAGTTTGTTATAACGAACTCAATTCGTTTAAACAAATTCTATTTTTTTTATAACAAATTAAATTCGCTAAAAAGCTCTAAAATGTGTTTGCTTAAACAAATTCAGCAACCATGACCTTTGTTATAATATTGTAAGCTTTCCCAGGGGTGTTTGATATTTCTGAATCCTCAGCATCTATAGGTCATAGTTTATCGTAATTCACCTTTTGTCAGGATGTACCAGTAATTAAATTTGTTCCTATATAAATTAAACAAGACTCTATTCTGTGTGGATACTTTACTGAATGATAGTCAAGATGATTGATCAGACATACTCATCATTTATTGTACGTGCAACATCTCATTATCATAACAATATAGGCAATATACAAATAACAACATAGGAAAACATGGCTGATTCTTCAGAAACACAAGTTTAGGTCGTCCAGTGTGGTATGAGATTTCTGACTAGGCTAAATATATGTAAATTACATTATAAGTATCTCATCGTCTTTGTTTTATTTCTTTTAGTATTCGAATGTTGCCGCCATACAACTAGCTGAAATCTGCTGTAGCGTAGTAGCCCTACCACATGACTAATATAAACCAATGTAATTATGCCGTACGAACTATTAACCAATCAACAGCTTGTAAGGAAGCTGAGTTCCTACATAAGTTCCCACACAGAAATACTTTTGCTGCAAAAGCTACCGTACAACGTCGTAACAAGTTAAACAATGTAAAATTAACAAATAGAAATAGAATTCAAAAAAAGCTTGACTAGACGAAGTAATAAATACCTTCAATGTTATCAAAACATCCCTAGACTATACAATATATGCTGAACCGACACTAGCATTAACAAATGTAGTTCCGATTTAGCTGACTGATTTAAGGAATCACTGTCTAGTTAGTATAGTATGCGAGCGCATCAACAATAGTGGAAAACATGGGATAATTTGCATAACGGGCGAAGCCCGTTATGCATAAATTATTCCATGTTTCCCACTATTGTTGATGTCCCTGGCATACTATACTAACTAGACAGTGATTCCTTAGATTTCCATTTCATTGTGAAATAAAATTGTAGATTTAGACTTTAAAAGTGCAGACGTAGATTTACATTACACGAGGACTCCCATCCCAATTTCAATAGTCCTCGCCCACTGACGTCAAACATAACGGTAGCCGCACGAGATTTTCGTGCATATTTGGCCTCCTTAGCGTCAGACTCGGAGACAGATGCGCACGAGATTTGCATGCATATTAGGCCTTCTTAGCTCCTGACCTATTGACCTGCCTAATTTACATTCCGGCAGAATTATCAAGATTTCTGAAATTAACTCCGCTTACTTTCAAAGGGTTATCACAGAGAAAAAAAAATTAGAAATGGAAATATAATAAAGTTAATGCTTGCAATAAATAACAACTTACAGCCTTAAATTACAAAACAACTCAAACCAAAAATGCAGAATACGATCCAATATTCTAAACTTGAACAGTTTGGAGAGAATACTCGAAATCAGGAATTATCCTTGAAATCGGATATAATACTCGAAATAGGGGTAACGTTGAATCCGCGAAATCGGATATTTCGTGCAAATTTCACTGAGAAGATGAAAATACAGAAACGGCATATGATGTCAGTTAGCGTGGTATGTACCTCAGTCTATCGAAAGTTTATTTTTATAAACTTTACTTACAGGAATGTCAAGATAATTTAAAAAACACGACTTATATGGTTGGGGTGCATAAGTGACACAAAAGCTTCATTATTTTTCGGTGCAGCTACTACAAACAAATTTCTTCACTTTATTTTTGGTAGTTTCCCACTAGTCTAGCCACTCAGCTAAATTTCTAAACGTGTTCATTGATCAAACAATGTGAAACGTTTAAGAAAACAAACAACTAATAATATGTTATTTATTTCGTGTCAAAAATGTTTGGCGTCTCTTTAATGTTAAAAATCAATGAAAGACCCACAGTTGGTTAGTATATATGATATACTCTCAAAACAAAATTGTAAGATCTTAGGTAGTAAAAAAGATATGCATCCGTTTTTTCAATAAGCACACACACATGTATATATTTTGTATCATGCCTTTGATATCATCTTTAATATTTCAAATCATGCATGTCAAATATTATTTTCTAATTGATTATTTAAATCGTTCCATTTATGCAACAATAAAATTTACTGTGAACTTTTCTTTTTTTTAACAATTTTTTTTAAAATTGATTGCAGACAAAAAAAAACACTAAAAAGGCGCAAAAATATCATCGATCTAGGTGGAAATGAACTAAAGAATGAAGCCACAGGCGCAGGTTCCCAGCATGGCTCTGAACAAAGCCTTTTATCAAAGAAAGAACACCCTTTTAAAAAAAGGTAAATATTAACATCTTCCCTTCCGTTATAAATCCATGAGATTTGAAAAACAAATTGATTATTTTATCAGTACAACGGATTATTTACTTCACACGGATGTGCAATTCATTAATCTTTTTTAAATAATTACCACAGATGTCTTCACTCTTGTCAAAAATGTCCAACAGCTCTTTGTAGAACTCTGTAATGTCAGATTTTTTTCTTGATTTTATAGGTTTCAATTTCTTTATTTGTATAAAAAAATCGTCTGTCTGTTGTACAATTCCTTGACCATTGATTTTAGTTCCTTTTTGGTTGATTTTCCAAGGAGAAGAAATTTGCCCTGTCATTGGGTTTAACAAATATAAAGGGTGTTAAGAAAGTTCGTTCCACATTTTTCTTTCATTTTCGAAAATAAATACGATGAGAAGATATTTGCAATTTGTAATATTTCATGTCTACATAGTCCATTCTTGCTATTGATAAGGTTTTAACTGTCCTTTGTTGCATCAATAAGGGGAGGGCAGTAGGCACGCATTGAAACAGATAGATGTCTGCTAAGAAAAAAATTTGGAATGACGCATATTTGTGACATATATTAAGCAATCAGGTCAAAACATCCTTTCAAATACTATGAAATAATTATCAAATCTGTGGAAAATTTTAAAATGAGAAACCTTTTCTTTCGGAAAATGATCTATCGTTCTTAATCCTACGCTCATTAGCTTGTCTGATGCAAGATAAGCTACGAAGAAACAAAAGTAAATTATCCTTTATTTTCACTCAAAATTAATGACCAGCATCTCTTTTATTCGGGTGCTTTAAAGATGTTACATATATATATGTATTTCATATGGAAGAAAAAGTCCTATAATTTCCTACTAGAAATGAATTGCTATAAATCCAGCACACTCTAGCGATTTTGTCATTCTTGAAAATTAATTCTCTAGTTACGCACTACTTTGAAAAATTTGAAAATATTTCATCCTGGGACGAACTTTCTTAACACCCCTTAGGTTTCAGTTTAATTTTGTCTTTAAAGTCATTTTCAACCCAAAACTCTAGATTCTTGCAAAAGTTAAATTGTGATAACTTGAGGAAATGTATAAGTTCATTGTTAAGTGGCTTTCCAGACATTGATACGTGTGGTTTAGGGTTGTCTATGTCACTTAATATATAGAAGGAAGAGCGTATTTGTTTACGCAATTCGACTATTTCTGTAGATTTATCATAGGCAAATTGATAGTCGACATCATTTTCAGTTATGCCAAGTTTACAAACCAAATTATCTCTCACCTGAAATGGAAGTGATGTTTCAATGTAAGTATTTTATTATCATTTTATTAAAACAGGCTGTAGATCTGCATCTTGTTACCAAATGTGAAGTACATTTGAGACTGAAACACACATCTGGATATATCTATGAATACGATTTAAGTTCACAAGAAGGATCTGTGGAGGTAGTAAAAAATCTTTTAAATAACTTTCAAAATTATATTTAATGCAGGACGTATATCATATTTTGTTGCTTTATTTCTATTGAAAGAAACATCATGAAGCCAAAGAGGCCAGAGAAATACATGTAAACAATGAAGACCGTCCAGGACCAAGTACAGGTCCTTTATCACCAACACCATCAAAATGTGAAAACCAGATGACTCAGACTCAAGAAAGCTATCTTCTCAGGTTAACAACAAGGGATCCAGAAATGTGTAGAGTTTGCGGGGAAGGATAGAAAGACAAAAAAGATTATGGATTTGACGTGGTCACATTGACAAAAGAAATCTCTGTAATTATTGGATCCATGCAGTATGCTTTGGTATTGTGCCAAAACTGGATGCAAAAAAAGAATCTCTAATGAAAGTCTCGATATAAAAAGGAATGGAGAATCCAAAAACATTTGGGCGAATTCAAAAAGTGCTGTTCTAATAGCAGAGGAGTTGTTCCTCCTCACACCATCCCTGAACACATGAAGTGAAAGACATAAAGTGAACACGGCATCAACATAAATTTATTATTGGTATTCTTTACATGTTTTGCTATTTATAAAATCCTTCTGCCGGTTGTCTTTCATTTCTTTTCAACATCTACCTGGCAAACAGCAGGAGGAGCTCTTCAGTCATGGCATAAAAAATATTTGAAAATTTTACCAACTTTTGTGGTGGTCTGATAAAAAACATGAATATAAAATCTTTGCAAAAAAATATGAAATGAAATGGATGTTCAAACAAAAATGTCTAAGGGAAGAAACCACTATTTGAATTTGACAATAAGGAAATACATGTACATGTACCGGTTGCAGCCATAAGGAAGCTAATCCTTCGGGCTTTGAAAGCCCAATATCATTGCCAATTCAATTAAAATGACGTCCCAAATAAATCTAAAAACTGCTTACAGCATATTCATCTCAAAATGTCTTAATCCTAAAAATGAATACATGTACATAGTAATCATTTTTGTAATGTAAAAAAAAATACCTATATTTTCCTAATTTGAAATTTACAGATCTTGTTGAGATACGTTAACAAATGTGTATGCTCACTGAGTACCATATTTATATCCAGATACTTCAGGCAATCGTTGATCTGAGAGCTCTTTTCATGATCATATAAAATTTTGTGTTTATCAAATTCTTCCACCCTTGTAAACTCCATTCTCTACAACGGCACACACTGTCAATTGTTCTACTTCCAAGAGTGTAGGTAAGACTATCGCATCCTACTGTTACCAAGACCTTTCTTCACCCACTTCTTTTTTAATTAGAATATGATAAAACACCTGAAAAAAATGGCCTTACTGTTTTTTAATTGAGACAAACTAATTTTTCCAAGATAAAGACTTTCAGCGACAATTAAATTCTATACCAATGCCTTCTTAAGAGCTTAATAAGAACACGGGGTTTCGAACAGGGATCACTTAAAATAATTTCTGGTTTGTAAGCATGCTCAGATGGTATGAACGTGTATCTTGAAAGAAAGAAAAATGAAACAATAAAATAACTGTACGAGCAATAAATCAAAGCAACTAAGATGCCAATCGGAAAAAGGACAAACCTTTCAGTGGAAGTGTTAGTAGTCAAAATAGTTTTCTTCTGGTCGATATAGTCTTCAAATGTGTTATTCGCAATTGTTTTCCGCATTTGACTCTCCACAATATGATTTTCAACTTTTTTCCCCTATAAAATCATTCCTGAATGATCATTAGAGTTAGCATACAGATGTTCCCATTAAAAGTTATTGGAAATTTCTATAAAATACAGTGTTAATCAAAACATTTATAAATACATGTATTCACATAAATATATTTATAAAAATGGAGTAGGCCTATCTATATTTCCTGAAATTTTGATTTGCATCATCGACTTGTTATTTTAATTTAGGTACAAGTCCCTGTTTTGCCTCTGTAGACAGATCATACCATTTTGGTTATAAATCTGGATTTGTTTGAAGAATCTCTACTGAATTTTTATTTGGGATTATATGTATAAAATTCGTTACTACGCTGCTTATAGACTTAAAATCAAACTCAACCCTCCATCTCTTTTGTAAAACCAATGCAAGTACAGAATGATGAGACTAAAATATCTATGACATAATTATATCTGTAATGGGATGGTAAATTATATTGATCGAGAATAGTAACAATATCTGGTTGTTGTCAAAAAAATGTGAAAACATCGGCATCACCAGGACATGTAAGTGAGTGTTTGCTATAATCTACAATCCATTCTTAAAGTTCATAGTTGCACAACAACCTGAAGGTGATCCCTTACTACTCAAATCTTTTGCAAACCGACTTACTGTGATATAATAAGTCAACAAATTTTGAAGAAAAAGCTAGAGAGGACATATATGTAGGATTGTTTAAGTTGTAAATGTGATCCACAGTTTTCACCAACAGTGGCAGATCCGAATATTCCTTGCCAGCAATAGCTTGAAGGAAAGAAATTACAACCTTGTCTTTTTTGACAACAAATCTGAAACCAAAGACATATATATAACCTTGTCTTTCTTTGATACATGTAACCAATCTGAAACCATATACATAATTCAGGGACAGTTCATACAGCTAACCCAGCAAATTTAGGTTCTGGAGATCAGTATCATTTTTATAAACATTCTGGATTGTGAACGAATCCTTCTCTATATCCTTTGCCCGTTTTTTTCTTCCAAAATGAAAGACCAATTCGCAGCTTTTTCCATACGGTTACTCCCATTCCTTCTATACTCGAGGAATGTTTCAAATACTAAAGATTCACACTCTTCATTACTGATTGTGCGCTTTTTATTAGTTAAATGTTCTTGCATGAACGTGGTTTCTGCAAATTGTACACACAAGGAACAAACATATTTGAAATGCTCTGTCAAGGACCCATTTTTTTTTTTAAAAAGCTGCCACAATGTATTTTTTTTACTTTTTTCCCCAGCATATAAAATACGTCATTTTTACCAAAATGACATCATGACGACAAGTTTGCTGCGATCAGTGATTTGTTTATATACTGTTATCTGGTATTTAACCAGCAACTATTTTAATGCATTGATAACTTTAGATGTTCTTGATATTAATACAGATTAAAATTGCTGAGTATTTGATTTTCTGGTATAATGAGGAATACAAAATGTATCTACTTTTGTATGACGTCACAGTGAACATTTCCTGTAAAAATGAGGCCCTGCCCCCTTTTTCAAGCCTTAACAATGCTGCAGAGGGGTTCCGTTTAATAATGCAGCTGGGTTTGAAAAATAATATGAAACAATAATAGATACTCGGCAGGAAAAAGGAAATGGAAAGACAAAAAAAAACTGTGAACAAATCTTCGGAGAAACCAAGCAAATGCGAAATAAATACGACCAATATATTGAACGTAACACACAATTCTAAAAATCCCACACTCAAATCTTTCTTTGATAGGGATAAGAGGGTGAGTAAAAGTTTCAGCACAAACTGATGACGAATAAGTGCCGTGACGTCAGAATTCCTTCGCTAGACCAGAACACAAATATTTATTTCACTTTAGTTAATAGATTTAACCTTTAGTGGTTAAATCCCAATTTTGAATTGAACAATGTTTAGAATCAGTTTGAATAAGATTAATTCGTTCTTGAAATTTTTTGAATGCTTTATAACGAATTTAAGATACATGTATCTGTTTTAACAGATTTACTTCGTTATAAAGAGTTCCTAAAAATTCTTTTGATGAAGTAAATTTGTAGTAATAATTTCGACAATTTGTTATATAAAATTCAAAATTATCTTTTGATAAATGGATCTCCCTACTTCTAGCACTAAGCTAACATCCTGAAATTTGTATTCATCTGTAGATTTTCACTGAGTGTGATTTGTCAATCTTTGTAATTTTATTGAAGTATTATGAGTAATATTTCATTTGCAAACTCTTAAGGCAAAAACAAAATTAAAGAAGTATCCACTTTTTAAACTTGTCACATGATATCGTGTCTTCTCCAAAGAAACAAATTATTTGTATCATTTTTCCTTAAATAGGGCTTACAGTTTTTAAAGCTTTATCGATCTGTGTATTTAAAGTTTTAATTGAGACTGCTGTTTGAAAAAAAAGTCTTTTAGAATATATTTGTTTTGTTAAGGCTTGCTTACAACAATGATGAGATTTTGATTTTTCTTTAGGCTGGAATAGCCGGGGACCAGTTACTGATAGCACTGGAGCCTGAGGTGGCCTCATTATATTGTAAACATCTCCCCGTAGATAAACTGCAGCATGAAGTAGGCGTCCAGGGATTCGAGGCATTCTCCAAGGGAAGCAAATACCTAGTTTTAGATTGTGGGGGTATGCTTCAGTTTTAAATGCCCTTATGTATAGCACATCTGTTATATTGTTATAACTATTACCTATCATCATCAGTAAACATCTCTCTGATAAGTCAAGTGTTTCAAAAAACAACTTTACTCATTGTATCCCATTAGACTATGATACTATCAAAGTTAAATACCTTTTTCTTCAATTAGCTATTTTTGACATAATTGCTGAAAAGCTTAATTCTATCGAGTATCTTGATATGCTCTCTGAAATAAAGAAGTATTAAAAAGTTCTTTATTTCAAATACGCAGTACAGTTAATGTTACAATTGAAAATATCGGCGATTTTTCAAGATAAAAATTACATAATTTATTAGGATGGGCGATATTTTTTTACGACTTAACTGATATAAAAGAAATGTAATGTGGTTCAAATCTACATGTTGAGGACATTTAGATTTTTTTAGGCTTGTCACGTGTTGCCGGAGTTGCATGGTTTTAGCAAATATTCTTGCAGTTAAGAGATCATCAATAAATTTCAATATTACAAGGGCATAACAAAGTTAAAACTCATAGTTTAAATTATAGTTCTTTTCAACACTATATGTAGTTTGAGAAAAGTGCTTCGAACCTATAGAGAATCCACTATTTGATTGCTAAAATTATTTTTTTTAGAAAGCAGGTTGAATATTTTGCTAGTCAACTATATTGAATATAGCTATAATTATTTTATTTGCAAGATTTCGTGAGGTTCGCAGCACTTTTCAAATATCTAAATGCTTCTTGATTTTATGTGTAAAAACATGGCAAGATACATTGTGGGTATGTCCTTGAAATAATTTATCATGGCCCTTGTATTACTTTTTAATAAATCTGCATAGAAACACACGACAATATCACTTGTCTGGAGCATATATAGACAGACTATAAATAAAATAGTAAAATAGACATTCATACAAATTAACAACCTTTACACACCACAAATTATATTCTATTTGAGAATAAAAGATATTTTTTCATTGTATAAAATATGACTCCATCAGTCTCTCACTGTGTACAAACTGCGTCATATTTGCGAGATGATGTCATGTTGACAAGTTCATTGCGATCAATGAATCGTTTATATTCTGTTGTGTGGGATTTAAAAAACGAAAATTCTGTATGCAATAACAAGTTTTTATTTAGTTTAGAGCTATCCAGCAGTTTAAAACAGCAAATAATTTAATTTTGCGGAATTTTGAAGACCTTATAGTTATGTGACGTCATAGTAAACATTTCCCGTATAAATTAGGCCCGCCTCCTTACTGTAACCTATACTGTGCTGCGTATATCTGTTTACCTACATAATTAAACAATAATTTGATAAGGATAAGCATACATGTACAGTTTAACCTTTTATCCAAAACTCGATAGGACCAAAATTAATGAACTTGGATTACCACAGATTTAAGATATCATAGGTAGAATATTTCAATAAAAGTGATCTGAACATCAGCTTTCTTCAATCTACCTGAGGGGGGGGGTATCCATGTTCGAGATACTTAAGTTTTAATCAATTGTTTATTGAATGATAAAAAATAATTAAACATTTTCAGTTTTTCATCTGTTCGTAAAACAAAGTTGCAGTGGGACTATTCTATTGAATTATGAATATGTAATTGAGCAGCAAAACATATTATTTTTCATCATTATGTATCTATTTTAAGAGAAAATAAGGCACCAACCCACAATAACAAAGTATATAATGTCAAAATGACAGAATACTGATACATTGTATAAAATATATGAAAATGCGAGTAAACATTTAAGGAAAAAATAATAATTCTGTGAAAAAAATGTGTACAAGTAGTGTAAAGAATTCAAATTGAAAACTTAAAAAACAATTATTATTTAAGTAACATCTTTGACTGCAGAAATACATGTACAATAAGGGAAAACGTTCTCATTTAAAGTAATAAAGTAAATCAAATATTTCATTGGCAGTAACACATAATCAAATATTAAGTTAAAAATGTATTATTTGATTAATAAATCAGAAAAATCCAATTAAATTAAGGACCTAATGAAATGATAGAATAAAACTTTATTTGGACAAGTAATTCCGAACCAACTTTAAACAAAAATAATTTTAAGATTAAAATATATTTTAAAAAACGACAAAACAAATTAAATCAAAACGAATAAATACATATCAAATTAAATTTTATAATATCAAAAACAGGCAAGCGTAAATCTTAGATTGCATGATATAAATAAGCCAAACTTCTGTATAGCTCGTAAGACCAAGGGTTCAGCTAGACAGTGTGCTCACAAAAAAAATCATTACCGTGTTTATTAGTAAAACTTTAGATTATATAAAGTAGTAACCACAATTCGTGATTTTTGCAAGTTAATAAAGAGTTAATGTCTACCTCGCGAATAAAAGGTGTCCTGAAAATTAATAACCAGTAATCTATTGTATTCACCCTTTTTATGCATGACCACATAATGTATTTACTTTTATATTGATTTTATGTACGAGTATTAGATAAAAAATAATTCATTAATGATTTCATAATTCAAATGAATTTTAACTTTATTTTCAATATAAATTATTTTTAAAACCCTTCTCATTTTGAAATACATTCGTAAAAAATTATTTAAAGTGAAAATGGTCAATCATTAGACGCCTCTTCTTATTCAAATATAAATGAGATATGTTTGGCAGTTTTAAAACACTTCTGTATTTTAAAGGATTAAACGTAGATATCACCGTCTATAAAGTACAACCTGATCTCAGCCTAAAGGAGCTTTACAGAGCTAGTAGAGGAGCGTTGGGAGGGAAACAGGTAGATGAGGCCTTCAAACAGATGCTGATCAAAATATTAGGAGCCCCTGTCATCGATCTGTTTGCCGACTCATTTACAACTGATTATGTGGACATTTTTAGAGAATTCGAAACCAAGAAGCGTGTCATTACTAGTGAAACAAAGGTCGAGGTCACCTTAAAAATTCCTATTTCTCTGGTTTTCACTTTTCAAGAGAACACAGGGGAAAATATTACAAAGACAATAGAGAATTCCACGTATTCAGGAAAAATTAAATGGGTGGGGAACAGATGCAGTATAACAGCAGATGTGATGAAGAGTTTTTTTAAAGTGGCAGTGGATCCGATCGTGAATCATGTTAGAGACATATTAAAAAAGCCAGATATCTCAGATACCAACAATATCATAATGGTCGGCGGATTTTCTGAGTCACCAATTCTACAGGACATGATCAAGCAATCTTTTCCAGATGTGAGAGTTATTATTCCACCCGAACCAGGGCTTGCAGTCCTCAAGGGGGCAGTGCTGTTTGGACATAATCCTGTCACCATTTCTTCTCGCATTACCAAATATAGCTAATATAATCCACTTTAATCCAAGCATTGGAACAAAGAAATAGAAATTCTTTGAAATTTCAAAGAAGACATTTTTCATAAAAATAAACGAGTATAACAGACATAGGTTTTCGCATTTTTAGCCGGCTAAGCAAAGTCCTGGCTGTAGGCTTTATGATCGCCTTTCTTACTTTAAATAGTTCCACAATTATTTTAGCACTCCAGTCTTTGTAAATGTTAATCAATATTTTTTTTTAATATTTTATGAGAATTAAATTGAAAGACAAATAAGATACATATCTTATTAAGGTATAATCGCGATAGAGGAATTTATGAATATAAGCTAATTAATGCATTTCATCGAGAACTATTTTCAAAAGCGCGGGCTTTTCGAAGGATACTATTGGCCTTATGAATTGTTAAAGAATTTCATTATTTTTTCCGTCACTGCTATGTAAGTGGTTGTATTCTCTGCTGTATTTTAGAAAAAAGCAAAAAATAAGCAAATAAACTGGAGTTTGAAATTAATATGAGGTATGCATGAAGTCTTCTAACAATGTACATATATATAGTGTTCATATGTACCGGTAGTTTTGCACTTTTGACAAGTTTTTGTATTGTATTTATATTTTGATGTACCCCATGTTTTGATTTGGGCGAATAAATTGAACTGAACATCTAGTTTGCAATAAAAGTACAGCACTGTTAAGCAGCGAAAATAAATTTACTTGTATTTAACCAGTTCGTAATATATTTGAAGCAATCTTAAAACTGTTTATCTTTGCATTTAAATCTTTGTGGAGAGACCTGAACACCGAATTTCCTTCAGAATTTGATCGTTTTTCAATATTGAAATTTAAAACTATTTTCCTATTCAGAATTATTATGATGTACATGTATGTATATGTAAATATTCCTAAGAATTGTTAGAATCATAATGATTACTATGTACATGTATGTAAACATTCTTAAGGTTATTCTTTCGATTGTTAAACAAGTAATGTTGAAAAGTTTTCAATATATTAATTACTCTAAAAAATAGTTAAATTTGAATGCGTTCAAAGAAAAGGGTTTGAAAATACAGTTTACATGTACTTCGATAAACCTTAATGTTATTGAAATAACTTTCTCTTTTCAAATACATTGTAGATAGTTTCAAACAAAATTTTTTATGGTTATATCTTTTTGTGCATATAAAGTTCAAAACTTATTGTTGTCTCTGATAATATGAAATAAACATTTTCATTCCATTTGCTTAATATTTTTATTAGAACCTTTTAATAAAGATGACTGGCCTAAATAACCACAGGGGTGAAAGAAATAAAATATTAAGATAGAATTTTTATGTGAATATGTATATGTTTAATAATGTGAGTTATTTTGACGAATTCATTGAAAATCTTTATGCTTACAAATTCCGGTCAAATTGCTAACGAAAGGTCAATGGTACATTGTATATTTTGTGAAGATATCTCGTATGTGCTCCCACACAGCTTTTCAGTGTACACACATTCCCCTCGGAGAAAGTCTGCTTATATACTGAGGTTTGTTCCGCCTGACTGACAACTGCACATTGCATTGTTACGATTTGATCTCTCTTTAGTGTTTCTTATATCAAGAATGGACATGCATAAAGGATAGTAAATTGAAGGAAAATGCACAAGTCTATATAAAAAGTCCTTAGAAAAGGCGAAATTTAAAACTTTAAAAGTGTGGTGTACCAGGTGGATTCAAATCCCCACTTTCAAAAATAATTTTCAACGGTGTAAAATTATATTCAGCTCAATATATCAACCGAGCTAGTCTGACTATAAGAATGAAAGGTATAGATTTAAAACAGATAATCAAAATCAGGTTTCCTTATTTTTTGTAGGTTTTTGTGAATTTCGATCCTAGGATAAGGGTGCCCCTAAAAAAATCTTATCTTAAATTATTCCTAACATCATAACCTATCAAAATATCAATTTTATTAAGAGACGGGCCTGTCCTCAAGGACTTCTATGCCAAATGTCATGCGATTATCAACTCTTCAAAGGACAAACTGATGTTTCGACCAACTTTGGAGATTCATTGTAAAGTTGTTAATAGTAAATTTTAGGTATAAATTATAAATTTAAAAAAAATTCAAGATCTATACGGTAGAACACAACAAATAAAGATTAATTTTTAAATGTCACTTTTTCCAGGAAATTTTTCTTTTCTATGGGTTATTTCTGTCGTCATATTGAATACATCATTTTCAATGAAAAATAACTTTACAGAATCCAGCTGGTTTCCACTGGAAGTATTAAGAAAATTCTATATATGAAGTAATAGAAAAAAAGCCGGAGTTATTTTATGCATACTTTGGCCTAGAGGAGCTGATTTACTGGACACATATACATGAAGCCATGAACAGCAGATAGAATTTAAAAAATCCGGTTGACGGCACTTGTACCGTTTCATTCACTGCTAAGAGGGGAATCATTACTTTTTTTTTTTTAACAAGTATGATGTCCAATGACGTGATTACACCATTGTTTTTAAAACGTTTTGGTCAGAATATATTATTGTAGTTGTTCGCCTGACCAATGATGAGGATGGGTTTGACTCTTCAAAGCAATATGAGCTGGAATCTGATGTCTGATTATTTTTTTTTTTTTGCAAAATTGTAATTAACTATTTCATTGACAGAAAAAAACAAACATTTATAAGTTCTGTTGTTCATATTTGCGATGGAAGAACCATTCATAAAAGTTTGATTATCTCTTCTTCTCCTTTGTAAATTGAATAATATTCTTTAACCACAGTTGAAAGTTGTTTATAATAGTTTTACCAAACCTAAAAGTATATATATCAGATAAACCATGTTTTGCATTCGTTGATTATAGATTTCGGTCGTTAACTATAGTTAAATGTCATTATTATACATCGTAAACTTTAGATTTTAGTAGGGATGGCAACTTGTAACCGGTTAAGCGATTAATTTGTCGAAACGATGGCAATCAAAAATCTGAAAATGGTTAGTTAGAAAAATTAAAACTAAACATGATTTTCTTAAAATTTATTTAAAAAAAAAAGGAAATCGTTGCTCATGTGGTTGAAAATGTTTAGCAAAGCTATAGATAATTATTGCACTCCCGATTAAGAGCCTGGGGGTAATATTGGTCAGTTTAGTCTGCGTAGCATTAATTATTGTGAAAACACCACGCCACTATTTCTTTACTGATGATAATTAAGATATTGAGAGCACTGTGAAATGGTATAGTTGTCATAATGAGTTTTCTACCGATTTATCTCATTAGACAAACACTGTAAATTAAGAGCTTTAGTTCAGACTCACTGGAGATGAAAAGTCTAGTTTCCGCAAAACTGAAACTATGCGGAAACCTTGCTGAAACTTGGCGTTGAAGTTTCCTGTATGGTTTCCGCAATGCGGAAACTATATAATAGTTTTAGCAAGTTTCAGTAGGGTTTCCGTATACTGAAACCATTAGGTTTGTTTCCTAATAGTTTCCGCAAAACGGAAACCAATGTAAAATTTAATGAAACGCCAATTTAACGATACGTTTTAGTTTCAGTAGGTTTCCGTTTCCGGAAACTATTAATTTCGATTCCATATGGTTTTCGCATGCTGAAACTGTACTGAAACTTTTTCTATTTCTTTTTTTCAAAAGGGTAGAAAAATCAACTGGTATGCATATGATCTTTTTACTATTGATTTCGATTCCATATGGTTTCCGCATGCTGAAACCGAACTGAAACTTTTTCTCTTTAATTTTTTTTCAAAAGGGTAGAAAAATCAACTCATATCATCCTTATATTTATTTATACATTAAAAAAATGGTTTTATTTTTAAATATCTAATAGTTCATATTTAGATTTTGAGATGTGCCTGCTCTGTGTAAACTTACACATACCGATATTTATATCAATGATAAGCATATTATACAAGATCCTTGCTTCATATTAAATGTATAAAAATTGTTTATTTCATATTGTGTCGGAATTCAAAAATATTATTTTTAAACAAAATCGATTCCTCTCACAAGGATTTTCTACATTACCCAACTCAATACTCCCCCTCGGGAATTGATTATTTTGAAAACATACATCATTTTCACAAAACTACGATTACGTTTCATGTAACGTTGTTTAAAAAGAAAATTAGTGTGTCTTCATGGTGCATGAAATACAGATAATTACGAGAGTGAACATAATCTGAGATAGAAAGGTTTGCATTTATATTCTTTATACATGTTTCTATATATATTTTCCTTTATGAATATCATTTCAATAATTTCAATTTGTTAACAATACATATTGACTAGGAAGCCCTTTTTACTATCCATATATATATATATATATATATATATATATATATATATATATATATATATATATATATATATATATATATATATATATATATATATATATATATATATATATATATATATATATATATATATATATATAGTTCAATAGTTACATGTACTAGTTATTTTTATAATAACATTGATTTAATATCTACATATGTGTATTTTTATTTCCGTCTTCGTAAAAACATTTTATTCGTAAGCCGCGGTTTTACAGCATTAAAGCGGCACAGTGACGCACAAAGGGGAAAATTGACAAATGTAGAATTTTCGCATGACCTCTGTAAATTTTGTTCAATTCCTAAAAGTATTCAGTTTCAGAAAATTACAGATTTCAGAACCTAAAAATTATATTTTTATGGGGAAAAATAAAAGTAAAAATAATTTTTGTCTGCCCCAGAACGAAAATATTGCAAAATACCCTGGTACTTCTTCCTCCCTATTTTACGCGTGCGCAGAAAAGTGTTGAATAAGTTTCCATAGTTACCATGGTCTCAGGTATCCTAGAATGAATGTAAGAAGACCAAAAAATTTGATTTAATCTTTTAAAAAAGTTGTTAGAACATATTTCTCACCTTTGCATGCTCCAGTTGAATTTTGTTTACAAGTTTAAGCTAAAAATAAGAGTTGCGTGACCTTGACATATACGAAACAACGAAACGGTAGATACAACCTTTGTTTTTCCGGCACTTATATTGTGCAGT